TTGAATATTGAGAAGTCTTTGAATTTAACATATTAATTTAGTCTTCCTCGCGCACGACAAATAACTGATATTCATACAATCGTCCGCTCTAACCCGTTCATTCAAGATAAACTAAACGAGAGTAAGTATTCTTTTTGCAGCTACCCTTGAGTCTTTCAACTTTAACGGTCGTAGCCACCCCTTAAAAAAATCATTTTTATCGATTTTACTAGTCCCACATTCCGCTGGTTACCGAGTCTAAGCTCAGAAAGTTTGTGGGGCATCAAAAGCATGCAGTTGAATAAACCTCTAATTTTGAAATTCAATGCAGCAATACCACAAATATGCACTTGGAGTGTATTGCGTATAGGGCATAATAAATGATATCTAACAAATTTTGTGCGAATAGGATGAAAAAGGATAAGAAGACAAGCGGCCCTTATTGCGAACGCTTTTGCAACCAAATGCGTTTCGATGCATACTGTGGGCTTTGATTCAAACTTTTAAACCTTTTTCACCCGTGATACCCTATCTCATCGTGGCGTGGGAGTGACTTGCCATGCCAGAAGCCCCACCACTTCTCTTAAATCGCTAAGTGATCCCTAATCCACATTTTTTGGGGAAAAGTTTTTTATTGCCCGTACAGCATGCAAAAGGAAAAGAAGCACTGCACACTGGATCACATCTACGGCGTCATATGTCATCAAGACCAGCGGTTGCACAGGACGCCATGGATTAAAGACCAAAAGGACACGTCAATGATTTGCCATGGAGAGAGTTTCATGCTGTGCACATACTAGCCAGGACAGTCTCCACCAACGCCGATCTTCACGCCCTTCTCGAAGCTGCAGGACGCATCAACTACCACGTACTCGCCTTGCAGGAAACAAAGTCCAGGAAGACGGACGTGAGGCAGCTTAGAGATGGCACCATCATTCGTGGTGAGAAAGTTCCTTCACAAAGCGTAGGAGGCGTTGGATTTGTCGTACACCCATCTGCTGTCCATTTTGTCGATTCGCATGAGAAGCTATCACCTCGCCTAGCTATCCTTTGACTCCGTCCTCTGCATCAGAAAACCATCATTATCATCAACTGCTACTCTCCAACATCAGGAGCTGATGATTCGCAACTTGGTGCTTTTTACAAGGATTTAGAGGAAGTCATCCGCATCCTTCTATAGCTTCGTCGTGGATGACTTCAATGCAAAAATTGGGATTAAAGAAGAGGGGAGGATAGGATCTGAAGATTTCGAACAGGACTCCGGAATGAAAATGGTAACAGTCCTGTTGGGGTCTTATCCGCCGCACGAGTTTTTCATGGTGTCAGATTGGAGAAGCTCCTCACTATGTGACTGCCCATTGAGGAGGACCCAACGAAGGACTACGATCTACTTTTCAGAGGACTAAGGGCCTGTGGGGAGAGTGCCTCTGCGAACAAGGATTTGAAACAAATTTTTCAAAAGCCACCAAGGATCTGCTAGAGAGGAGGAAAGCATTGACGCTGGATCTGCATCACATCTCGAG